CATGGATTTTGCTGGGAAAAAAGGATTTTTTTTTCTTATTTTTTTCTTTTTTTTTTTTTTTAACATTTCAAAGTGGGGATATTGAAATATTATATTAAATAAAGTTCCCGGAGAGAGGGACAGCGGATGCACATTGTCAACTCAACCACGTTTCTGGCTTCGACGAGCCCAAGAATTTACTTTTCGAGCGGTCAATTCTCTTTTTTTTCCCCCAAAATTGTTCGTTATTCTATAATTGATTGTAATTTCTTGGCCTGTTGCTGTCTCACCATGGGAAGACACGTTGGGTGGGTTCTTTGACCATGGGAAGACACCTTGGGTGGGTTGTTTGACCATGGGAAGACACATTGGGTTGTTTCACCATGGGAAGACACCTTGTGTGGGTTGGTTGACCATGGGAAGTCACGTTGGGTTGTTTCACGACGGGAAGACACCTTGGGTGGGTTGTATGACTGTAGGAGACATGTTGGGTGGGTTGTTTCCCCATGGGAAGACACCTTGGGTGGGTTGTTTGACCATGGGAAGACACCTTGGGTTGCTCCCCATGGGAAGACACTTTGGGTGGGTTGTTTCCCCATGGGAGACACGTTGGGTGGGTAGTTTCACCACGGGAAGACACGTTGGGTTGTTTCCCCATGGTAAATACACGGATATTTTCACCGTGGGAAACCACCCTGAGGTGTTTCCCTACGGATAAAATATTGGGGTGTTTCCCCACCAGTAGTGGAAACAGAGAAGACAATTCTCTGAAATCCCAGAAATTACAAAGAAAAAAACCAACCCCAAACCCCCACAAACCCACAAGAAAAAAACCTTCGTAAAAAGAGTTGTATTGATTTATCCAACAGCAGGCAGCATTAGACTGAAAACAGTCAATGGGAATAGTGCATTTCTGGGGGAAAATGGCCGGGATCTGGGTCTGTTGATCTTAATTTTACATTTCTTTTGGTTTGAGGTGTTTATCTCGCTTTCCTTCAGGCCACTCCAGTGCAGATGGGTCATCTTGGCTTTGGGCTTTATCTGAAGTAGATCAGGTCTTTAAAAGACCCCTTTTTTTCTCACTGATTTGAGGCCAGATCAAGCATTTGCCCTTTTTTTTTTTTTTTTTTTTTTTTTGCGGTTTTTTGGGGCACCGGGCCC